CCACCATTCCAATCAACTTCTAAAGGGGCCAAATAGCACAGAGCAGAATTCTAATCCCCTTCCCTATATTTCAGTGAAGAAAGCTGTGGATGCACCTCAGGAAGTTCACTCCTGCAATTTTCAGGAAACAGGGTAGAAAGGAAAACAAAAGTAACTTGCAAGAACTGGGCAGGGGAAAACTCCAAAGTACTGTTTACCTTTTAAGTTTAGTAACAGGTTCTGGTTTAGAGAAGAGAAACGGGACCTGAGTGGTAATACAAGCTGGAAGCAAGGAGACTCTTATCAGATTTTTCAAATCCTTAAAACACTAAAAACTTAACTATAAACAAAGCAATAGCAAGAACTTAAAATGCAATTTAATTCAAGTCCAGTTTTCAGTATCTGCACATTAACCACTTATTTTTATTTTTTTAACATATTTTATTGATTTTATACAGAGAGGAAGGGAGAGAGATAGAGGGTTAGAAACATTGATGAGAGAGAGTCATCGATCAGCTGCCTCTTGCACACCCCCTACTGGGGATATGCCTGCAACCAAGGTACATGCCCTTGACCAGAATCAAACCTGGGACCCTTCAGTCCCCAAGCCGACGCTCTATCCATTGAGCCAAACCAGTCCCGGCTTTTTTTTATTTTTGAATATCACAGACTTCAATCAGAATATTTAAAATATATATATATATATATATATATATATATATATATATATATATATATATACTGCATGCGTCTAACAAATCTGACAAAGGACAGGTATCCAGTTTACTTGCATTATACTCTGAAGTTTTAACTGAACAGCCAATTAACATATATTTATGATCATTAAGTCCAGGTAACAATAAAAAAGGCAGTGCATTAATCTGATGACATCCTACCACTGTGCAATGTTTATTAACACTACTATCCTAGAGCACAGGCAAAATGTTGACGGAGGACTTTCCCTCAAAAGCAAGCTTAAGGGATTAAATATCTTCACCATCATCACTACTGAGGGTAAAGCAGCTGCATGTAAATAGCGCCCTTTCTTCTCAAACATTCCCCCCATACGACCTACAGTCCCTTTCTCCTCAAAATCATCCAACTTCTCACAGGAATCCTCATCTTCTAACATCTTTTCATCTATACCTTCTTCATCGTCCTTTGCATCTACTTCCCCTTTATTTTCGTCTAAATATTTAAACATCTTTTCAACTGCATCTTCTTCCTCCTTTTATCAGCATCTTCAAGTCCCTTTTCATCTGCATCTTCTTCACCCACTTTTTCATCCGACTCATCATCAAAGAAAATTTTTATATGCATCGTCTGATTCTTCCTTGTCAAACTCAGAGCCTTCCTCATCGATAACTTTTTCAGTGCTACCATCCTCAAATTGTGATCGTTCAGAGTCATTTTCTTTTAACTCTTTTTCAAGGATTTTTTTTTTTAAACTCATCACAGCCATTCTCACTTTAATGGGCCTTTTAGTTATGCAACCGAAACCTCCATCCTCCTCCCCTGACACCCTCCTCCGGAGTAAGGGTGAGAGACTAGGCTCCTTGACATAACAATGGAAGTGGAAGCTGCTTTCCGATAGCCAATGTCTCCCCCAGCCAAGGGCTAACTGAGGGGTGAGCTAAGACCCTAGTGGAGGGGTTCCCTTTCTTCTCCAGGAGCCTTCAAGGAGTAAGGGGCTTGGACATCAGAAGAGTGCTGGGCAGAGATCGAAGTTCGGCTGACCTCCTATTTGGTCACCGTCAAGATGCTCAGAAGTACTTGCAAGTAAGGCAGAGCTGTTTGGAGGGCACCTACTGTGTGCAAGGCTCTTGAGATACAGTGGTGAAGTCAATAGTAATTGAAAGATTAAAAAATTTTTCCCTGGCCAGGTAGCTCAGTTAAATGTTTAATATCACTGGGAAGGTTGTGCAGAGATTGGACAGGGACGGGGTTGCAGAGGCAGTGTGCTAGGCACTCCATGGCGACTACGCAGAAGACAGAGGAGCCAGGCTGGGCCACCGTCTGCAGCGGCGAGAACTACAGGGTCTTGTTCCGGGAGGGTGTTGAGCAGGAGATGGAGAGCAAGGACCAGAGTAGAACTTCGAAGTCCGGCCTGAATGGGGCAAAAGAGGCGGGGTCTGGGGGTGCTGCAAGCTGGGGCGGGGCCTTTGGGATGAGGCTGCTCCGGGTCGCTCGGCGCTCTTGGGTTCAGGATCTGGCCGCCAGGTGGGTGGGATTCCGCGCCGCCCGCAGCCTCGACAGCAGGTCCGGAGGGGCCGGCCGAGGTGGGCGGGGCGCCGGGCCGCCGGCTGCACGCGGCTTTCGCGAGCGCATTCCCCGCTCTCCGGCCGCAGGCGGAGGAGCGCCCTGCCTGCGTCCTCGGTCCCCGCCGGGCTGGGGGATCGGCCTGGCCGGAGCTAGGACCGGGCCACCGAAGACCCAGGTGAGCCAGGACCCGGTGCCGGGAGCTGTCCCGCGGAGGCTCCAGGTGCACCGAGACCCGACGCGGACCCTGGCCGCGCTCCCAGCCGCCAGGGGGCGAGCGGCGGCGGGGCTCCGGGAGCTGCCCCATCCCAGCAAGGGGACCCGGGTGTCCGCTCGGCGGGGTGGGTGGAGGGGGGCGGTAAATCAGTAACCCGCCGTGCACACAGGGCCTTTTGTCCCGCTCCGTCCAAAGAGCACCCCGGCCGCGGCGCTGGTTACTCATTGCCCACCGGGGCGGGGGCGGACAGGCCGTCTCTGCGGCTCCTCCTGGGGACCCGCCGACTCGCACCTCCCCCCAGGGCGGCGGCGGAGGGGTGAAGGAGGACGAGCTCGCCTGCTCCTCGGCTGCTGGGGTGTCTGCGCGCCCCGAGTGGCGATGAGAAAGCTCAGGCTCGAAGAGGTGCAGTCCTTTGCCCAGGGTCCCCCAGCGCTTGAGTGCGGGAGGTTGGAAGTAAACCCTGGACAACCTGATGCCAGAGTCAGGCACTGCGACCCCCTGTCCGCTTGTGACCTTGCTAAGGACCCTGGGGTGATGAGGTCAGGGTAGCCTGAAGGTGAAAATGTAACGTCCACTGGCCTCCCAGCGCATCCCCAACCGGAGCTGTGAACCCAGAGAGCTGAGCTCCCTGCAGAAGTGAAGGGGGGGGGGGTGTTTTACCAGGAGGGGCCACGGAAACGGGGTGGGCGCCAAGAGAGTGGCATCTGAGCCAGGTGGAGAAGAGAAATGGACGCAGAGGTCAAGAGACAAGATGTGCCCAGTTTTGAATGCAGGTGGTTTCAGTGCTGAAGGTACTGGAGGAGCAGACTGCAACCTGTGTGGCCCAGGCAGGGAGGAAGGCCCAGGATGCTGTACCCGCTGGGCACGGGCAGCCATTAAGGACTTGTAAGCTGGTGGGGAGGGGGCTGACATGGCAGCCTTGTAATTTTGAAAGCCTGCTGGAGAACAGAGGCCCACGCTAGAGATGACTGTGGCCTGCCCTGGGTCCAGAATGGGCTGGAAATGGGACAGGGTGAGGAGTGGGGATGAACAGAGATAATGCTCCAGCTGCAGGGGCAACCCAAGGAAGAGGAAAATAATGGCTTTGCCCAGGACAAGTTAAGTGCCCCCTGCCTCAGAGCCAGAGCTGGACAGAAGGGCTGAAGAGAGTGTGTGGTGGGTTTCCTGGGCAAGGAAGACCCAGAGACATCAATGCCCCGACTGTCACCCAGCCCCAGGTGATAGCCAGTGGGTCTCCGGGCCTACACTGGTCACCCTCTTCCCCTGCCCTAGCTGACGCTCAGTTCTGAGGGTGAGGAGACATCCTTGGTGGCATTTGGAGGAGGATAATCAGATGGGGTGGGTGTCCTGCGGAGGCTCCAGGTGCGCCGAGATCCGGGTCGCTCACACCTGACAGGACCTGGGGGTGACTGGCAGAGGGCAGACCCTGGGTGACAGTTATAGGGAGGAGATGGGGAAGGAGACCATTCCAACATTCTGTGTACCCAGCCCCTACATACATTCTCTCTATATCTATTTTTTAAAAATATATTTTATTGATTTTTTTACAGAGAGGAAGGGAGGGGATTAGAGAGTTAGAAATATCCATCAGCCGCCTCCTGCACACCTCCTACTGGGGATGTGCTCGCAACCAACGTACATGCCCTTGACCGGAATCAAACCTGGGACCCTTCAGTCCACAGGCCAACACTCTATCCACTGAGCCAAACCAGTTGGGACTACATACATTCTCTTTTATTCTCAAAGCAATCCTGTGAGGTCAGTGACCCAGACATGGCCGGGCACAAGCAAGTTGGGAAGAGCTAGGATTTGAGCTTGGCTCTGTCAGACTGCAGAGTCTTCATTCTTTACAAGAGCCTGCCTTGCCTCAGGTGGAGTGGTGGGGACACAAAAAGCAGAGATATTCCCAGGCTGCAGTTCTGGTTCAGAAAGAGGAAGGACTGCTAGCCATGGAGTCTGCTGCCTTGTCAGTAGTAAGCACCCTGCCGTTGGAGGTATCCAAAGCTGGTCATGGAAATGTCAGCAATGCTAATAGGAGTGGGGATCAGATCAGATAATATCCAGATGCTGCAGTTTGGCCTTGTATTATATTTCAGAATTTTTTTTTTCGCTCTTCAGAAATAAATTCATTTATTCAGCAAAAAATAAATCATGTGTGCTAAGAGTGAACAGAAGATATGTTTCCATTCTCTGCTTGCCTCCAAGGAAAGAATCCCAAAACTGCCCTCTCTGTGAACTTGTGCCAAGGTCTCAGCAGGACCAGTGCAGAGCAGGAAGCCCCGCCCCCCCCCTCACCCCCCTACACACCCTACTGTGCGGCAGCCTTGGGCTCTGCAGCAGCAGACCAGCTTCCAGTCTGCCCTGCCGCTGCCTGGCGGGGCGCTTGGAAGTGGCCAGCCATTTCCTGTCTCCGTTTCCTCATCTGCAAAATAAGGGACTAGCACCAGCCATGGTGCATGCAGCAGCAGAAGCTCTTCTCCCTTCCTGTTTCAGGAAGGCCATCGGTGGGAAACCCAGCCTGGGCCCCGTGAGCAACAGGAAAAAGATGCCGCCGTTGCTGCTGGTCCTGTTGGGGGTCCTCCTGAGAGCATCCTGGGCTCCAGCTTTGCCCTTTGAGGCCTCTGAGGAAATGGAGCTGGGTATGACCTCTAAGGTGGGAGAGGGTGGCAGGGGTGGGAAGAGTTGGCACCAAAAGAGGGCTGAGCAAAGCGGGAGAGGATCCTGGCCCAGGCCCTGGGGAGGTGGCAGCAGGTGGCAACCATTGAGACTCAGTGTCTGGCTCCCAGAAAGCATCCACCTCACTCTGTGTCCACGAAAGAGGACTGGCCTTGCAGGGCCCAGGGCCCTGAGCTGGGCTGCAGAGCTGGTGGTGAGCCTCTTGGGTGTGTGTGTGTGTGTGTGTGTGTGTGTGTGTGTGTGTGGCTTGGGAGGCCCAGACTGCACGTGTGGTGTGTGCACTGGGAGGATATTATGCCTTGGAGTGGTGTGATGTGTGTCCTGTAGCATGTGCCGTGTGTGTGTGTGTGTGTGTGTTTGTGTGTTGAACAGGGTCGTGTTCAGCCCAGCAGGTGTGCTACTCACCGTGTGTGTGTGCTGTGAATCAGAGGCATGGCCTTACTTCTGCATGCAGCATCTATAGCATGTGGTTGTGTGTATGTTGAGGGGCAGTAGGTGTCTAGCATGTGTCTGAGGGGCTCGTGCCCTGCATGGGCAGCATGTTCTCTCTATGTGGGGGCTGCCTCAGCTGGGGCTCTGGGGCTCACTCACCTCTGCCCTTGGCCCACAGAGCCCTGCCTGGCCCCCAGCCCAGAGCAGCCAGAACAAGAGCTGACCGTGGTCCTTGGGCAGCCTGTGCAGTTATGCTGTGGGAGGGCTGAGCGTGGTGGCCACTGGTACAAGGAGGGCAGTCGCCTGGCACCTGCCGGCCGGGTACGAGGCTGGAGGGGCCGCTTGGAGATCGCCAGCTTCCTACCCGAGGATGTTGGGCACTACCTCTGCCTAGCACGAGGCTCCATGTTTGTCCTGCACAATGTCACCTTGGTTATGGACGGTAAGGAGGTCTGGTAGGGGATAGTGGGTAACTAGGGAGAGGCTCTTCCTATCCTGCCCTCATATATCTCCCTCTATCCCTGACATAGACTCCTCGGCCTCCAGCAATGGTGATGAGGAACACAATGGCCCTTCAGATAGGCATGTTTACCCACAGCATGGTCAGTACAAGTCCTCAAGGACTCTGTCCCTGCCTCCCAGCTGTTCCCTGAGAAGAGACCTGTGTGGAAGCACGTAGTCATCCCGAGGCCACTAAGTTCTTCCTTCCCCTCCAGCACCTTACTGGACACACCCCCAGCGCATGGAGAAGAAGCTGCACGCAGTGCCTGCTGGGAACACCGTCAAGTTCCGCTGTCCAGCAGCAGGGAACCCCACGCCCACCATCCGCTGGCTCAAAGATGGACAGGACTTTCACGGGGAGCATCGCATTGGAGGCGTTCGGGTGAGTCTCTGGGTTCCAAAGCCACCTGCTTCCCCACTGTCCCCCTCATACCTATAAATCAACCCTCCAGTTCCTTCTTGAATAAAGAAGGCCACTGTGTGGCCCCCCAGAAGAAGCGCAGGCCGTGGACTTGGACAGCTCTGGTTCAAGTTCCCACTCTGCCACCCTCCGGCAAGTGACTTAGCCTCCGGAGTGACTCCATTTCTAAAGGAGGAGGGATCCCTGACCAGCATCAGTAAGTTTGGGCAGCTCATTCTCATGGTGAGACCCTGCAAGGCCAGCTCCAGGCTGTCATGAGGAAACTGAGACTCAGAGGGCAAGCTAAAACTCAGGGCTCAGGCATTTCTTGGAGTCTTCTCCTTTGTCCCAAAGTCCCTAGCCTTGCCCTCTCCCTCTCTCACCCTACTCCCCTCATGGGCATGAGTTAGTGACCCCTCATGGACACGTCCCCTCCCCCCGCAGCTGCGCCATCAGCACTGGAGCCTGGTGATGGAAAGCGTGGTGCCCTCAGATCGTGGCACATACACCTGCCTTGTGGAGAATTCGGTGGGCAGCATCCGCTACAGCTATCTGCTGGACGTGCTGGGTGAGCGGATGGGCGAGCGAGGCAGTGTGGGGAGTGGAAGCCCTCAGTGAGAGCCCAGTCGGGCAGGCAGCATGGACTGAGTCTTAGATGACTCACTCAGACTGTTTAAAGTTTGCTGTTGGGGTGAGGGAAGCACAGAGGGTGGGTGGGCCTGGAGGAGCAGAGATTAGCCAAGAAGAAAAGTAGGAAAGCCATTGAGGCAGAGGGTGTGGGTTAGCAAAGGCCTTCAGCGTAAAGAATAGAATGCCTTTGTGGGGAGAGGTAGGCCTGGGGTTTGGCATTTTCCTGGGGAGCCAGGCCAGGAAGGGTTCTGAATGCTAGGCTGAGAAACTGTCCTTGACCCCGAAGGCAATGGGGAGCCAGGGAAGGTTTACGCAGGGTAAGCAGGAGACAGACAGGTCTGAGCTGCGTATCAGGAAGGTCTCTCTCCCTTGAGCTGGGGAAGTGGGAGGCAGATGACCAGGGTGCCTCTGTGGGTGCCGCTGGTCAGGGTTGACGGCCCGGCCTGGCCCCCAGAGCGGTCCCCGCACCGGCCCATCCTGCAGGCAGGGCTCCCGGCCAATACCACAGCGGTGGTGGGCAGTGACGTGGAGCTGCTATGCAAGGTGTACAGTGACGCCCAGCCTCACATCCAGTGGCTGAAGCACATTGTCATCAACGGCAGCAACTTCGGTGCCGACGGCTTCCCTTATGTGCAAGTCCTGAAGGTCCAGCCCCTGCGGTGCCCGAGCCCTCCCTGCCCTTCTCCCACGGTGGGGAGGGTGACTGCCGCTCCCTCCCTGGCCCCGGCCCTGCTGTGACCCCTGCATGTGTCTCCCACCCCCAGACAACAGACATCAATAGCTCAGAGGTAGAGGTCCTCTACCTTCGTAACGTGTCAGCCGAGGATGCGGGCGAGTACACCTGCCTGGCAGGCAACTCCATCGGCCTCTCCTACCAGTCGGCCTGGCTCACCGTGCTGCCAGGTGAGCCCCTGAGGCGGCCAGAAGAGGCTTCAGGATCCTGCTCTGCTGCAGCCAGGGGCTGACCCGCGGGTGGACGTTATCCCGTGGCCTGTGGGATCTAAGCTCGGGACGTGGTTGTGTGGTTCTGTGTTGGATTCTGCATGTAGCAGACCCTCTGCATGTCAACATGTGACTATCAGTGGGACCCGGGACTATGCAGGACTGGGTGTCATTACAGTTTTCTTGGTGTGTGCATCCTGGTGTGTGGCGGGAGCTATGAGGGCCTGAGGTAGAGGGCACGGGGTCAGCCATCTGGCCACTGACCGGCCAGTTGTGTGTCTGCGGACAGAGGAGGACCTCGCGTGGATGGCAGCGGTGCCCGATGCCAGATACACGGACATCATCCTGTACACGTCGGGCTCTCTGGTGTTGGTGGTGCTCCTGCTGCTGGCCGGCCTGTACCGCGGACAGGTGCTCCACGGGCGGCACCCCCGGCCGCCCGCCACAGTGCAGAAGCTGTCCCGCTTCCCTCTGGCCCGACAGGTACTCCCCCCCGGCCCCGTGTCCCACAGGGAGACTCGGCCCCCCCGTCCCACCACAGCTCAGTGCCAGCAGGCTAACCAAGCCTCCCGCTTTGCAGTTCTCCCTGGAGTCAGGCTCCTCGGCCAAGTCAAGCTCGTCCCTGGTGCGGGGCGTCCGTCTTTCCTCCAGCGGCCCCCCCTTGCTTGCTGGCCTCGTGAGTCTAGACCTCCCGCTGGACCCACAGTGGGAGTTCCCCCGGGACAGGTAGGCTGTGCTGAGGGAGCGTGTGGGTGCAGGCTCCAGGCAGGAAGGACGCCCGGACGGCTGAGATTTCCGCTTTCTTGATTCCTAGGCTGGTGCTTGGGAAGCCCCTGGGCGAGGGCTGCTTCGGGCAGGTGGTGCGTGCAGAGGCCTTGGGCATGGACCCGGCCCAGCCTGACCAAGCCAGCACCGTGGCCGTCAAGATGCTCAAGGGTGAGTGTAGCGGCCTGGGGGGGGCACGGTGGGCTCCGGGCTGACAGAAGGAGCTCATAGTGCTATCAGGTGAGCGCTAGGGGCCAGGAGAGGCTGTCGGGTCCCACCCACCCTTGGGCCTGAGACCCAACTCCTGAGCCTCAGTTTCCTCATATGTCCCTACCTCAGAGGTTCATAAAAATTCCTGATGCATAAAATCTTACCCATTGGGATGATGGTGACTCTAAGGATTGGGGGTAACTGGGGTTTACTATCCCCTGTCTGCCCTGACCCTATGTAAGCTTTGGCCTCAAGTAACCTTGTCAGCTGTGTCGGACACCACTTCATTCCCCCCAAGCCACACCCTCAGCCTCCCCCAGGGCCCTTCTTCCCAGGTCTGTCCTGTTGTTTCTACCTCTCTAGACAGCCTTTCTGCTTAAATTCAGTCCCAACCTCCAAGCAGGCGCCCCAAGGTGCCTAGGACACCCCTGGAATCTACCACAGGGGCCTCTCACTGCTGTCTCTCAGGCCCCTCTGCAAGCACCCAAACCACTGATCTGTTCTCCGCCTCCTTACTCCCAGCTCCTCTCTGCACAGCTGGGGCCACCTGGCACTTTCCCGGAGGCAGAGATTGAGAAATGTGCATTGCGAGGTCTGGTGGGGAGGGTATGTCATTGGCCCAGGGCCACAGGTCAGCCCTGAGGGCCCGCCCCTGCTGCGCAGCCTTCTTCCAGGCCTCCCCGAGCTGTGCCCCGCTGGCGGCTCCTTGAATTCCCGGGCCAGATGGACGCCAGGCCCTGGTCAGACAGACCTCAGGGCGCCAGCCTGCTCTCCACTCCCAGGAGCTCTAACCCCATTCAGGGACTAATGCCAAGCCCTTGCAGACAAGCTTCCTTCCTGCTCAGAGCTCTTCCCCCTCCTGCTTCCTGGCCCCTCGCAGGCAGGCCTACTCCTTTTAGATCCTTGATTCTTGTTGCATCCTCACAACTGCTCTGAGAGGCAGGGCACGATACAGTATCCATTTCACACAAGAGGATCCTAGTGTTCAGAGAGGTTAGGTGACTTTATCAAGGCTACGCAGCCTCGTGGGGACTCGGTCCCAGACCTTCTTGTCTCCTGTCCTCTCCCCCACCCTTCAGCCTACCTTGTGTAGTCACCCTGGCTGTCGCCCTTGCAGACAACGCCTCTGACAAGGACTTGGCAGATCTGGTCTCTGAGATGGAAGTGATGAAGCTGATCGGTCAACACAAAAATATTATTAACCTGCTGGGTGTCTGCACCCAAGAAGGTGGGTGAGGTGGGCCGCGGGCAGGGGCGGTGGTGGCAAAGAGCACAGCCTTGGCAGCCGCCCTGCCTGCTCACCTCCGCAGGCCCCCTGTATGTGATCGTGGAGTGTGCTGCCAAGGGAAACCTGCGGGAGTTCCTGCGGGCCCGACGCCCCCCGGGCCCCGATCTCAGCCCTGATGGACCTCGGAGCAGCGAGGGGCCACTCTCCTTCCCTGCCCTGGTCTCCTGCGCCTACCAGGTGGCCCGGGGCATGCAGTACCTGGAGTCTCGAAAGGTGAGGGCAGCAGCAGCACTTTGGGCCACTCCCAACTGCTCCATCCCCATGTCTTTATGACCCTGGCATTCAGTGTCTCCCTCCAGCTTCTCCCTCTCTCCTCTTTCTCGTTACCCTGAGCCCTTCTGTGTGTAGATTTCAGTGCGTGTCCCGTTCCGGCCTCCCATACTCCCTCACCACAGGCAGGGCAGGGAAAGAGGGCACATGAGAGAACGCGAGGGCCCTGACGTTGGAGTGCTCGGGTCTCCCCTCTGCATCCTGACTTCCTCACCTGTGAAACGGGTGACGATCCCTACCCACCAAGGCGCCCGTGGGATGTTATGTGTCCTAATAAGCCTAAGCCCCTGCCCTGTCCCCAGTGCATCCACCGAGACCTGGCTGCCCGTAACGTGCTGGTGACAGAGGACAACGTGATGAAGATCGCTGACTTTGGACTGGCCCGAGGCGTCCACCACATTGACTACTACAAGAAAACCAGCAACGTGAGGGAGGCAGGGCAGTGCTGGGGGGAGGGGGCAGGGCCTGTGGGACTGGCACCAAGGCTTCCTCCTCTCCCCTCCAGGGCCGCCTGCCTGTCAAGTGGATGGCACCAGAGGCCTTGTTTGACCGAGTCTACACACACCAGAGTGATGTGTGAGTCCTGGGGGCTGGGGGTCCTGAGTGTCTGCCAGGATCCTTATCCTACCCCCCAGAAAAGGCAAAGCATTTGCCTGAAGTCACATAACCCTGGGACCTGAGTTGGACCAAATTCCAAAAAAGGCTCCTATCCCCACCCCCGTTTGGTGAATTATGCCCACAGGGGCCCCCTTTCCGGCCCCAGGAGCAGGGAGCAAAGCTGTGCCCTGCTGAGCCCTGGATCTGCCTGCAGGTGGTCGTTTGGGATCCTGCTGTGGGAGATCTTCACCCTTGGGGGCTCCCCATACCCTGGCATCCCCGTGGAGGAGCTGTTCTCACTGCTGCGGGAGGGGCATCGGATGGACCGGCCCCCGAACTGCCCTCCAGAGCTGTGAGGCCATGCCCTACTCTCCCCCACTTTCCGGTCCTCACCCTCTGCTCTGACCTAGCCTCAGGTCTGGCCCTGGGGAGGGATCAGCACCAGCTCACTGTGACTGCCACCTCCTCTGCCCAGGCCCAGTGGGAGGTCCTGGCTCCCGTGCCCTCAGGACACCCCTCCCCTTCCCCACCTTCTCTGCCCACCCACGCGGGGCCACAAGGTCCTCCCTTCACTCAGGCCTGTGGATGCTTCTGACCCTGCCCCACCTCTCTCAGGTACGGGCTGATGCGTGAGTGCTGGCACGCGGCGCCCTCTCAGAGGCCCACTTTCAAGCAGCTGGTGGAGGCACTGGACAAGGTCCTGCTGGCCATCTCTGAGGAGGTACTCCTCCTCTCCCAGCCTGTGATCCCCCCTCTGCCCACTCCCCTTGGGGCTTTATCTGAGCTATCAGGGCTCACCTGCACTGTTCCCCGCAGTACCTGGACCTCCGCCTGACCTTTGCACCCTACACCCCAGCCGGTGGGGACGCCAGCAGCACCTGCTCCTCCAATGACTCTGTCTTCAGCCATGACCCCCTGCCACTGGGGCCCAGTTCCTTCCCCTGTCCTGGGGTGCAGACTTGAGCGGGAGCCTGAGGTTGTGCAGGCAGGACATCCAGCAGCCATGGGCCTCCCGGATCTGCTGCAGCCTGGTGGTGCTTGATCTTGGCAGCCCCAGTCCAACTTCAGGGTGCGGTCCCAGGTCTCTGGTTTTGCTTTGGGGAGGTCAGTCCTTGGCCCTGAGTCCCTAGCTGAGGCTTCCGGCTCTGGCCTTGGGTTCCCAACTCAGAATTCAACCCTAGTCCCAAGGCCCAGCCCTCGCCCTGGGAGTCGTGGCCCAAGCATTCTAATAGCCTGAATACAGGGCTCTGCTTGGCACCCTGGGCCTTGACACTTGATCCAGATTCATGGCTTTGGCTGAACCTGGCTGCAGGGCTATCCCAAACCTCCCTGCTCCCTACACCAAGAGAGATCTTGGGCCTCTGAACCCCCTTCTCCCAGGCCTCCCCCCACTTCCCCTTTGCTGCTTGTCCCAGCACCTGGATGGAAGGAGCTTTGGCCCCTGCGGTCCTAGCTGACGCCGGAAGACTGCCGAAAACACAGACACCAATGGCCTTTTATAAATTATTTTTTTGAAATAAACCTCGTTGTGCCTGATGTCTGCCTTGCATCCCAGATGGAGGGGGGAAAGGGTGGAGGGATCCCCAAGCTGGGAGTTCTGCCTAGGTGACAGGCTGGCAGGGCTCTGTGCCAGGCCTTGGGTTCACATCCACCTCCAGCTGCCTCAGGGTGGACCTCTGTCTTGGTCTGTCTCTCACTGGCACCATCTTGTATATGTGATGGTGTGAACGAGTGCTATGGGCAGAGGAGTCCACACAGCACCATCCATCCACAGGGCGGGACTCCTGTACCCTGTGCACATGCGTGACCTGGGGCTGTTGCCAAGGGAGCTGGCAGTGCCCCTCCCCCATCTGCTCAGCATTAACCAGGCTGACAGTTAACACAGCATGAAAGCCCAAAACCCAACCCCGAGGCTGCCTCCTGCTCCCACGCTCTGCCTGCCGTCAGGCTGGGAGCTTGGGCCGCGCTGCCCCGCCTGCCCTGGCCGGTCTCCGCGGCAGCAGCTGGTTGCCGTCCTCCTGGCTGGACTGCAGCTGTTCCTGCCTGCCTGGTCCTCCCCTAGAGAGCCCTCAAGGCCCTGTTCTCAGATGCCCTTGGGGTGGGGGCGGGGGGAGTAGAGAGGATCAGCTTCCCGGGACTCTGAGCCTGGAACCTTCTTCAGTCCATCCCAAGGGTTATGACTGCTGCTCCCCGGCCGCTGAACCATGGGATGAGGGTGCCTGACCCAGGGCCTGGCTTTCTCTCCTGCCCTGTCCTCCTGGCACGGGACTGTCCAGAATTTGGTGCTGGAAGACTGAGCAGCACCTCATGGCCATGGTTCTTTCCTACTCTGGGTTTCCTCATGCCCTATCCACGTCTCTCTGAGTCCCCATGTCCCCCATTGAACTACTCATCTCCCCCCAAAACGGCATCTTCTCCAGGGGCCTCCATCTCAGAGAAGGCACAGACCAGGAGCCACAGAGACACCCCCAACCCCATTCCCGAAGGAGGTGGAAACACAGTGGAAGGTTCGAGGCCTGACACTCCTAGGATCCCAAGGCCAGTGCTGTCACTTCTCCAGTGGTCACTGCCTTCACTAGTGTGGGGGGGCACTCCTCCCTGCGTGCCTCTCTGGGCCTGGGTGTAAGGGGAGAAGAGGCGTGGGTGAGCACATATGTGTGTGTGTGAGGGGGGGAGCAGACACCATGCAGAGTTCATGAGTATTTCAGTGACACTAGTGCTTGGGCTTTGTAGCAGCCCAAGGTCCCCTTCACTCGCATTCCCCTGCGGGTGGCAGGTTCCTAAAGCAACTCTTGGCTTATGCACCTCCTGCACTCAAGAACCCAGACTGGCTCCCTGGAGCCCCTAAACTTCCTGATTGAGCCCCACCTTCTCTGAGTCTTCCCCCTGGATGCCACTGATCAGTGACTATGTCCTTCATCAACCAACCAATCACAGGAGAGGCAGGTCTCTCAGAGCCTGGAGGCAAAGTGTTGGTTGGGTAGTGTGTAAAAACAAGTGGGTAAGAGATGAGAGTCCCCATTTTCCACTTCCTCACCATGGGTCCACTGCTCTCTCAAACTCAGCCACTCACCACTCTCCCTCACCACAGCCGCACCAGATAGACCTTTCTTCCCATTTAATGGTAGGGAAACTGAGGGATGTCACAGCCCAAGGTTACAGGATGGTGCTTCAAAGGAGCTGAGTTGAACCCTCCCACCCCATCCCAGGTTCCCAGTGGGTCTTGCACCCATGGGAGACCTGAGCCAGGTCACTCAGAGTGACGGGGCAGCTGCTGCCTGGTAGGTTCCAAAGGCCAACAGGAGCTCAGCTGCCCACCCTGTGCCCCCTCCCTGCCCACCTCCCTGGCAGGCACACACTTGCTAGGTCCCTTCCACATTCCTGATGTCGCATGTAAGAATGAGACAGATGCTGCTAATTCCCATGCAAGCTCGGCTGCCTCCCCTACCCTCCCCCGAGCCTGCTCTGGGCAGCACGGCAGCAGCTGGAGCTGGGCCCCTTGGTCAGTCTGGATTCGGAGTGGCCTAGCTGTGACACCGGCCTCGGGAGCCTGTAGCAAAAGCATCAGTCACTCTGGACTTTGCCACGAAGGTATCAGTCAGGGTTCTGATGAGAGCAACAGATAGACAGCCACTGCTATCTGGGAGCCGGAGTCCAGGGACAGGAGGCTGCTGGTAGGGAAGGTCAGGTGGTCATAGTGTAGAAGGGGGGCAGCTATGACCGAAGTTACCCTCCGAGCCTGAAACACAGGAATGCTGCCACGCCTGGAGAGTGGTTTTAAGTGCTCTGTCAACAACTGGGATTAGGAGGGAATGGCCTCCGGGCCGGGCTGCCAGGATCTTATTCCTCCCTCAAGGCAACTCTAACAGAAGGCATTCTTGTCCTGCTGCCCAGATAAGGACAACTGAGGCTCTGGAGGAGAAAGTGGCTGGGCCAGGTTGCACAGGAGTAAGTGGGGGAGTCGGTGCCTATGACCGGCTGCCCTGTCTCATGGCAGAGCTCATTCCTGCAGCCCCAATACCCTGGCCTTTCCAAGGACAGCGGAAGCTGGGTGTGCAAAAGCGGGGACATCTGTTCATGAAGTGTCCACACTCAGAGGCCCAAGCACAGATATGACAGGCCCAGTATTTTGGTTCCTGCCACCTCAGGGCCTTCACATGGGCGGGATGTTCCTCCTGGGGCACACTCCTCACCTTTTAAAAAAGATATATGTTTTTATTGATATTTTTTAGAGAGAAGATAGAAATATCGATGATAGAAAAACATCGATCAGCTGCCTCCTGCAGGCCCCTTACTAGGGAATCAGACCCACAACCTGGGCATTGTCCTCACCAGGAATCGAATCAGCAACCTCTTAGTGCATGGGATGATGCTCAATCCACCGAGCTATATTCTCTTCACCTTTTAAGTGTCACGCAAACCTCATTTCTCAGGTGCCCTCCGTTCGGACCCCTCCCAGTTTGTCCCTCCCTTGCAGGCTGTGACCCCTATTCAGAGGTGCTCTCACAGTCTCCTTCTTGCAAAGAGAGCACAGAAAGCCAGCACTACTTGGATGGATTCTGAATCAGTCCTGAAACCTCAGCATATTTCCAAATCACCTGGAGGCCCCGGACTGCTGGTTCCACCCTAGAATCTCTTATTGGGTAGGTTTGAGGTGGAGCCTGAAAACTTTCAGGGAGTATAGCTGCTGATCTGGGGCCACACTCTGGGAACCAGGGTTTTTATAGAGGTGTCACGTGTTTGAGGTTGAAACGACTCAACAAAAATTCCAATATCACAAAAGGTTTTCAATGAAAACCAACACCCCAGTACGCACTCTCTTGGCTTCCTGAGGGAAACTGCCCCCATTCTGAGTCTTCCTGAATGCTTCCACTCCTTGGGCTGTATAGCCCTAGACCCAGTTGAGTGGTTACTGTCCTTGTCCCCTAATTCCACACCCCGGGCTGCACCTGGCAGAACTGAGGGGCAGTAAAGTGTTGAAGAGATGAAGGAGACCCATTCCCACGTACAGACACACTCAGGTGTGCACACTCAGCCACGCTGCCTGTCTCTTCCCACACTCCAGACTCCAAGTGGGATGGGAGACCCCTCCCCACCCCAGGCCTCCACCTGCTGTAGGATTTGGCCTAATCCCGAAGGGAGGCAGCTGCAGCTCTCTCTGGGGGAGAAGGCTCCCCTCCGAAGGAAATCTCCTTTTATTCTCTTGCTGCCGAAATCTGACCTTCCTTGGCACCTGGGCCCCACAGCTGGGGCCTGTCCCCAAGAAGTGACTGAGGAGGAGGCGTGAAATCACCAACAGCTGAACTCACCCAGTCTTCCCCCCATATCCTCTCCAAATCAGTGGCTGCTCACATTCCACGGTGCCAGCCCCTTCCGGCCCCCCAGTGCCAGGTGCAAACACGGATACTTTGGGCCCAGCCTGACCTGGCCTTACTGATCTCACCAGCTGACCCTTAGGATATCACTAGGAGCTCCCCTCAGCTCTCCAGACCACACTTGTACCCTTCAGGCCTCAGCTCAGTTATCCCCTCCTCCAAGAAAGCCAGCGTAGGCATGCCACCTCCATGCATGACTGAAAGGACCCATGTATGTCTCCCCTTCCCACTCAGGGCAGGGGCCTCTGGCTTCATCTCTAAGAATGCAAGCCCAGTCAGTGCAGAGAGGGCCACGCTAAGGCTGGTCCAATGACTAGGTGATCTGGTAAGGGGGACAATGAGGCCCCTTACCTTCCACAGCTGAGGTCCCTAGGAAATCAGGTTCCAGAAGTGGAGAGTTGGCTGGCAGGGCTAAAACAGTGAGACCCATTTTGGGCATCATAACTCTAGAACCTTCACAGAGGGGTAGCTCTTGGATCTTGGGGGTGTTGAATAGAGATTGTTATTATCCCTGGAGGACCCACTGCATATGATGAGGGGCTTTTCCAACACAGCCAAGCTTCTGTCCCCTTCCAAGCAACCTCTGAA